CTAATGAGTTTGATTAGCATGACTAGGTTCACCTGAGCCGGAAACAAAGCACCAATGGCCAAAAAATTAAGCTTCCAGAACTGCAAAAAAAAAAAAGCTTAGCCCTGAAACTGCAGTAACTCCATCCGAAGCAGCACTGGGGATGTGGTGGAGAAAACACAAGACCTGGAGTCAAAGAAGTGCCACCCTCCTCCAGAGAGGAGACCTCTAAACCTCAGCTTCCCAAACTGTCAAGTGGGAATTCCACCATCCACATCACTGACTGGACTGTGGCAGAGACTTTAAAGTGAGACAAATGTCTGAAAGGTACTTAATAAACTGTAAAATGTTTATCTATTACTATAAACTGCCTCAGAATCACATCACTTTTCCAAGGCAGTCACTATCAATTTAACCCTGGTTCTGGTAAAACTTAATTCATTACTAATAATTAGGGAGCTTCAGGGTGAAACATTTTCTTCAATTTATCAAAAATACAAACCTTTAATTTGAACACATGCTACTTAACCGATCACTTCTTAAATTGGCTTCTTGAAACTAGCACTCCAAACAGGGCTACGTGGGCATATATGCCCAAACCAAGAAAACAGCAAGACTTACCACTGGTAAAACAGTGAACAATCACCATTTAGTTCAGAAAGTAACACTAATGACTGCCACTTTTGGGGCCCTATGAAGTGGCTATTTGCTGTCACTTTCACCTGGCCAAGGCCAACACTGAACCCCCCCGTTTTTTTATTATTAAAGACAGAGTCTTGCTCTGTTGTCTGGGCTGGAAGGCAGTGGTATGACCATAGCACACTGTAGCCTTGACCTCCTGGGCTCACGCAATCCTCCCACCTCAGTCTCCCAAGTAGCTAGGATTACAGGTGTGAATCGTATCACCCAGCTGACACTGAACACTTTCAAATGAACAACCACCATGGCGTGTATAATCGTGTACCTTTTTCCATCAACATTAGTGCAGCTTGGAATGGCAAACAAATACACCTGGTATTTTACTGGGAACTCTGCCATTTACTGAAGCATTCACTGTTCTACAGTTTGTCCACCAGATGTGACAGGTCATATAACTCAAGTAAATGTGTTACTTAATGATAAGCCAATAATGGTAAAACACACCAAAAGGCAGGCCAAAGGCCCACTGAACCACCAGCACTTATCAATCCCAAGAGGATACATAAGACACATTCTAGAAAGTAAACAAATGAAACTTAAAATGACAGAATTTTAGAGCTGGAATGATGTTCAAGGCTATCTGACGCTAAATATCCTAATTTTCAAGCAGTGAAAATTGAGACTGAGAGGCAGTGACTTGGTCAACAACCCCCAAGGAGCTAAGGACAAGCTATAAACTCACTCTTAGCTCACACTTCACATTCCTTCCACTATCCTGGGCACTGCCTGGTCCACTGTGACCCCAAAACTTTATCCAAAGCACTCATTCCTACCTCTACAAATAAGGCAGAGTATGCTTAAGCTATGGTTTCACCTGCTCTCTGAATCCATTCCTTCCAGAAATGCTACAAGAAATAGCAGTCACTAGCAAGATATAAGAGCAGCAGGAAGCAGCCTCAGGCAAAAGAACCGGGGCACAACAGTTTTCTGTGGTCCTGGCTGGCTTATCACACGACTGTTCATGCTAACTTTGGCAGGGACAGACAAGGAGGGCAAAACAGACAAACAATGCCACCACTCAAAAGGACCGCATTCTCCCGCCAAGGAGAGCCGCAGGCTCCTTGGCGGAAGGAAGCAGGAGGAGAAAGAGCTGGGCCAACAAACAGGCACTGGCTGTACTACTTAATACCTGGGCAAGCTACATATTCCTTCTAAGCCTCTATTAACTTTATCCATTAAAAAAAAAAAGAAGAAAAATACCGTATACCTCCTAGGGTTGTTGGAAGCATTAAATGGAACAATATTTAAAAGAACAAAGCCTGGAACAGTGTGCTTCCCAGTATACCCTAGATGTGTGATGGGGCATCCTTCCTAGATTTAATTAATTACAATGAAATAAACTAAGAAATAGACATTAAATAAACAATACATAAAGCCGCCCCTCAGTCACGCCAGTCATACTGTAAGTGGTCACCAGTCACCTGTGGCTAGTGCACTGGACAGCACAGACAGAATGCTTTCATCATCATGGAAAGTTCTACTGCACAAAGCTATCCTAGAGTCTCCCTCTCCCTCACCTACAAAGACTTCCCTGCTCTGCCTCAGGGAGCAAGCTGGATTCTCTCCACTTTAGTCCTGTAGATTTTTCTTCCTAACTCTCTCTAATCCTTATTGTCTGCCACTATCTTAAAAGCCCTCACAACTTGTGTGACACTGAAAGCCACCTGTTTCCAGTTCCAGTTCCTCTAGTCCCATGCTATCTCCAGAGGGACATGTCTGACACATCTGAACTTGTCTCTCCTTTAGTATATACTTCCTGTCATACAACTCCTAAAATCCTTGGAATTTCCACAATGAGATCTTTCGTATGATAATGAGCTGATGGCTTTGCAGCCCTTTAGGTAGCTTCAGGATGGGGCTAGTCATCAAAAAGACTAAGGCAGGTGTAGAGGATTGGGACTTTAAGCTATACCCACCCAACCCACCTGGGAAAGAGATGCTGAAGGTTAAATTGATCACCAATGGTTTAATCAATCATGCCTATGTAATAAAGTGTTTACAAAAGGTCCAAGAGGATGGGATTTGGATAGCTGAACACATGGAGGATCCCAAAGGGTGGCACCCCTTCCTCCATACCTCATCCTATGCATCTCTTCATCTGTATCATTTATAATATTCTTTGTAATAAATCAGTGAACATGTTTCCTTGAGTTCTGAGTTGCTCTAGCAAATTAATCAAACCCAAGGAGTGGGGTCAACCAGAAGTTCCAGAGGCTCAGACTTGTGATTGGTATCTAATGGCGTGGGGTAGTCCTGGGAGACTGAGCCCTCAACTTGGTCTGATGCCATCTCCAGGTAGATAGTGTAAGACATGAACCGGGGGACACTCATTTGGTGTTGGCTGCAAGATTGATTGCCTGCTTGGTGGTGGGGAGAAATCCCTCCTCATATTTGGTCACAGAAGTTTTTCGTGTTGATTGTTAAGTGAGAGAATAGGAAAACACAAGTTGAGGGTTTTTTCCATACTCACATGTTCCCTTCAGGACTTCCAGCCCACCATGACTTTGAGCCATCTGAGACTCAGCCTCTCCTCACCCTGCCCCTCACTGCACTCTGTATGTATCTCCTGTGTGGACATCAAGCCCACTGTGATGCACAGACACAAAGTCACCCTGGTGAAGCTCTAAGGTGAACATATGCTCTATGGTTAAGGGACAACCTCATGTCAATCCCTAGGCTCAGACAGGAAAGAGCTGGACCACCAGTCTTCTGGGCTTGGGCTTTCAGAAGCTCAGTCCTGGTCTCCAAAGTCACCACCTTGGTCCAGGTCAGCTTCATCTCTCACAGGGCCTTGCTTCCTCCAAGAGTCTCCGCACCACAGCCAGAGCGATGATCGTTCAAAAACACACAAACCACCTCCACTCTCTTTAGGTCCCTCAGTGATCAAAAGCAGTCCATTCAAGAAAGAGCCGAGATCATGGTGGGCCTAGGGAGCAAAGCTCTCTGCAGTGGGCTCTCTCCACTGAAGACTCCCGCCTACATCTCCTTTACCACATTTTCCATTAAGGGAGACAACACATCTGCAGCCACACCTTGCAGTTTCCAACGCTGGTATGCTTCAGCAGCCTCTCCGCCTGTCACATATGCTCTGTCCCCTGAAGTTTGCCTGGAATGACCCGGACAAACTTCTCAACTTCAACCTTAATGATTCAGCCCACCTGAGACCTATCACCTCCTCTCAAACAGCTCTCCTTAACACTCCTTCTGAGCACCCCATGCCCCCCTCGCTTGGGGTGAATGCCACTCACTGCACCATGCTGCCACCACGTAAAGGTGACCTACTTGTCTTACGGCCTCCTCTCACTAGGCCCTGACAGCAGGGACTGTGTCACCTATATCTCCGGTGCCAATTCCTGGAACCTACCAGGCATTCAAAAAAATGTTAGTTCCCTGAATGAAAAAATGAAGATGAGACAATCTAAAAGTATCCTGATATGCCCTAACTCCTTCCGCCACTTCACATCTCTTGCTCTCTAGACTGTCCCCTGAGGACATGCTGCTCTCTAGACTGTCCCCTGAGGACATACGACTCTCACCAGAGCATTAAAAGTTAAACAGTCTCTACCTTGGCCTCAAGGCAATAGTAAACACAAAGGCACATGCAGACAGGTACCCCATGTCTGGCTATACAGTGGTCATCAGACCATCTGTTCCATGAACCCACTTCTTTTAAGCTATGGCGAAAGATTCACAAAACCTGGGAATACTTTCATGGATGACCTTCAAGGCCATGGCCCTCAAGTTTGAGAAACCCAACCCTGAGATGAGGGTGGAGAAGGAGCCAAAGGTCATGGAACGCTTCAGGGTAAGTGGTAAAGACAGGTAGAAAGGGAAGCTGAGGGTGGTGGGATGGTGGCACCCGGATCCGGCAAGTGCTAAGGAGAGATGGCAGGAAAGTTTTCACCCAGGAAAGGTGGGGGAGTCCTCGGGGCAGGGGAACCTGAGGAAGTCTCCGGACGTAGGGTCCTGAGAGAATCTTGAGAGTTTCTGGAACCAAAAGTTCTCCGGGCTCTCAGGGCCCAGAAGCAGTCGAGGGCCTCAAGGGGTCTCGGAGTCCAAGGGAAATCTCGAAGAGTCTCGGGGTTCGAGGGTCTTGAAGATGTTCGGGGCCCACAGGAGGCGGGGACTCCCAAAGGGTCTCAGGAGCTGGGGGCGTGGAAAGGTAGAGTGGATCCTGGGGGTGTTCTCGGGGGCAAGGGGCCCCAAAGGAATGTTGAGAGGGGGTTCCGGGAACCCGAGGTATGTTTGGATCTTGAAGGTCTCGGGGTTCCCAGGGGCTCTCGATGCATGGACCCCGGGCCTGCCCTGACCCACCCCCTCACCTGCGGTGCCGCCCAGACGCTGGCCAGAACTCGCGCTCCCGCCGCCTCCTCCTCCGCGGTCGACGAAGTCTCCGGGGTCTCTAGATGCCGCGCGCCCCTCACGTTGGGCGGGTCTGGGGGGACAGTACTCAGGGAAGGGACTGCGCGCGCACGCTGGGCGGGAGCCGGAGCCGGAGCCGAACGAAGCCGGAGCAGACGCCGCACCCCCTCCAGTCGCCACTACACGTTAGCCGGCCGCTGAGCCACCGCAGCGCCTTCCCCCACGCGCCCGCCCCCGCTGCACGAAGGTTCCGCCCCGAAACCAACGGCCCAGCAGTGGCCGGAGGCTCCGCCCCGGGAGGAGGGCGGAGCCGGGGCGCGCGCTCCGCCCCAAGTCTCCGGGCCCGCCCACCTCGGAGGCCCCGCCCCTCAGTCTCCTGCGCAGGCGCAGTCGAGTGTACGGAGAGCCTTCGAGCTTTGACATCCGCTTGGCGGACCCCGCTTGCCCACGGTGGCTGCGGGTCCCGCTTTCTTATCTGCAGAACTGGCGCCGGCGAGCTTTGCAGGGACCTGGCGAGCATTAGATAAGATCGGAAGCTCCCCTCTACATCTGCGTCCTGCGCCACACTGCACAGTTTCCATCCTCAGACCCGAGTCCGGCCCAGACCTGGGGCTAGTCTCGATCCCCAAACAGCCTTCCACCTGCCTAACATTCTCCTCCACAGCCCTGTTTTCTTTCCTTTCAGAGTGCTCATCACTCCCAGAAATTGCGTGCAATTGTGGTTGCCTCTTTCCCTTCTCGTGAGAGCCAGTACTTTGTCCGTCTTGTCCACCTTTGGGTGCCCAGGAGCTAGCACCGTGGTGGGCACGCCGTGAGTGTCCAGATGTTTGTGCTGGCGTGAATGTCTTCCTTGTGCTCTTCTCTCACCGAGAAATACTCTTCCCCGGAGTCTGAGAATGGGACCGGCTTAGGTTGAATCCAGAGGGGCCTATGACTTCTTGCACATCCCTGCCCCGGGTTCCACACCTGTAAAGCGAGAATGATGTAGTGCCCGCCTCCGGGGGTTGTCCAGAGGACTAGATGAGATACACGTAGGTGGGCTTGGCCTGTGCCCCCCAGTGATCTTATCACTCAGGTGATTCTCCCCTCCACTTTCTCTGCCATTGGAAATTTTTCCCTTTCCCTAAACAAGTCCCAATCCAATCAAGAGCCACTTCCTTTTCCCAGCATCCCTGCCCTGCCCAAGACAGAGTTCATTATTACTTCCTCTTCATTAACACCTTTATTTTTCTACCTGATTTTCAAGTGGGCTGTTAACATCTTCCCCTACCCTAGCCCATCTTCTGTGACAGACGCTGGTCTTAAGTGTTTAACAGCCTGTGAAATTTTGGGGGCCCAGAACACTGTGGGGACAGTGACTTCTGGATGAAAAGGCAGCTGCTGGGTTTCCTATGTGGGGCCAGGCACCTGCCTGAGAACTTTGCACACGTTCCTTATTTAACCCTTAGAACAACCATATGAGGAAAGTGTCTTCATTATAACAATTTAACAGAAGGGTAAACCGAGTGCTCAAGAGGTTGTGCAGGCAGTTCCAGGCCCCAACCCACACATTTAACCACCACTGCATACAGTTCCTCATCCCCTGAATGTGCAATTTAAATGCACTGCAATTCAGTTCATATGCACCTGCTACTCTGCTGGGTGCTGGGACTGTGGACCCATGGGAGATACAACCTCTGCCCTCAAGGAGCTCCCAGGCCCCAGCAAGAACCTTGATAAACAGGACCTCAAGGGCTAGGGGTTACAGAAGCCAGATCCAACATGCAGTGGGGCCCAGGCAAGGCATCCTCTAGGGTCCAGGATGGTGGAACAAGAATAGTCATAACCCTTCGGCCAAGTTCAGCCCTATTAGAGGCTCAGGCTGGAAGTCTCAGGTCCTCCACCCAAAAACTCAGCCAGGCAGCCTTACAAGAACAATGACAGCAAAAGAAAGACCTTAGAAACAAGGATTCTCACCCTTTCCCCTATATCTAAGAGAGATGCAGCTGCTTCTCTCAATTTTTGTGAAAAATCACTGAGAGGTGTGGCTCCCTTGTCATCTTATCATTCTGAGTAGATAAGGAGCTGGACATGGCGGGTTGGCCAGGGCCCAGCGTGATGCTGGTGCGAGGGTGTGTGTGAACTGTCACTGAGCACTGCAAGGTGTCCGTGTCCTACCCTCTACTCATCTAGCACGAGCATGTCGCATGCAGCATGTCTTGAAAAAATAAGTGAAAATGTGTGTGCATGAAACAGTAAGGCTTGGGTCGGGCTCGGTGGCTCAGCCTGTAATCCCAGCACTTTGGGAGGCCGAGGAGAGTGGATTGCCTGAGCCCACGGGTTTGAGACCCTCCCAGGCAACTTGGTGAGACCTCATCTCTACAATAAATCAAAAACTAGCCAGGTGTGGTAGTGCGCGCCTGTAGTTCTGGCTATTTGGAAGGCTGAGGTGGAAGGATTGCCAGAGCCCAGCAGATTGAGGCTGCAGTAGCTGGGAGTGTGCCATTGCACTCCAGTCTGGGCAACAGAGTGAGACTCCAACTCAAAAAAAAGAAAAGAAAAGAAACAGTAAGGCTTGGCCCAGGGACCAGACCTGATCAATTTCTGTAGAAAAGTTGCCTGTGGAGGCATACAACAGGGGCTGCCCATACTCAGGAGCTGGAGGCTACAGTGAGCTATGATTATAGGTATGAGCCGGGTATGATGGCTCACACCTATAATCCCAGCACTTTGGGAGGGTGAGGCAGGAGGATCGTTTGAGGCCAGGAGTTGGAGACCAGCCTGGGCAACCAAGTGAGATTCCATCTCTACAAAAAAAGGGGGGGGGGTGGTTGGCATCCAGTGAGGCATTTGGCTATTTGGAATGTATGTGTTTTTGTATATGTGCATACACTACTGTTTATTGAGCACCTACTGTGTGCCAGGCACTATTCTAAGTACTTCAAGACATACCTTTCCTCACTCTCACTGCCACCCTATGCAGTAAGTCTTATCAATCTTCTTTTATTTTATTTTTTTTTACTTGGAGTCTCACTCTTGTCACCCAAGCTGGAGTTCAGTGGCATGCTCAGGGCCACCACAACCTCGTCCTGCTGGGCTGAGGCAAAACTTCAGCCTCAGCCTTCCAAGTAATTGGAACTACAGACGCATGCCATCACGTCCAGCTAGTTTTTGTGATTTATTGTAGAGGCGAGTTCTCACCAAATTGTCCAGGCTGGTCTCAAACCCACAGGCTCAGGCAATCCTCTCGCCTCGACCTCCCAAAGTGCTGGGATTACAGGCTGAGCCACCGAGCCCGGCCTCAATCTTTAATAGACTGAAAAACAAGCTTAAAGGACTTACAGCAACTAGTCCAAGCTGGAAAGTAGACATCTGCTTGGGATTGCCATTGGGGTCTGTCTAGCTACAGAAGGGGCTTTGCACTGTCAGAAGAGAGAACTGACAGATTCACAGGCAGGGCCCCCGGTGGGGAGCTCTGAAGAGTGACCAGAAAGGAGAGCAGGGACCACAGAACAATCCTTCCATCCTGGAGAGGAAGTTGAGGCTTTACTGTGTGGCAAGACCCACATCATAGGTGCCCTGCACCAGTGTACAGACTAGACATATACCTATCATGTGCCCCTGGATCACACCCTACAGAGTTCACTGGCATTATACACTATACGTCCTCATACTGTGTGTGTCATTACACATACATGCTGCAAACACACTTATGGGAAAGGACCTCATTAAGCCTTTGGAGCCTCCTTTGTGCCCCCCACATACACACACCCATGTCAATTTTCTACAGAAACTCCCTGCAGATCCTGTTCTCTGGGAGAGCTGGCACGAAGGACTGTGATGCCAGCACTGGGCAGCAGGTGGGCTGTGTGTGACTGGCAGGAGAAGGCAGGAGGGGAGCTGGCCCCAGGGTTTATTGTCCATTTCCCCACTGACTACATTGCCAATTCCACGAGGGCAGGGGCTGGTCTTCCTGTAGCGTCCTCAGTTCCTAGCACCGTGGATGCTCAGTCCATATTTGTTTAGCGGTCCTGCCAGTCCTCCTGAACATATCATGGCTGCTGGGGAACAGAGGACATGGATTGGTGAGTGGAGACCTCAGAGCAGCTGTTGCAAACTTCCAGGCAGGCAGTAAGGAGGCCTGAGTTGGGACGTGGGTGGGGTCTGGGGGGGAGGGCAGAGCTGATGGCAGAGAGACTTTTCCAAGGTGCCAGGACTTGATGAGGCTATGAAGAAAAATGAAGTTGCGTGAAGTATAAGATGCTGCTAAAAAATCAAAAGGACAAAACATAGAACGGAAGAAATTTGTAAAACATATATTGGACCAAGGACCTCATCTAGACTATAAAGAACTCTCTCAGTTCAATAATAAGAAGGTAAACAACTCTCCCTCCCCATAAAAACTGGGCAAAAGAATTGGATATATACTTCTTCAAAGACAATATATGGATGGCAAATAGGCCCCTGAAAGGATGCTCGATATTATTATTAATTAGAAAAATGCAAATCAAAACCACAGTGAAATACCATTACATGCCACTAGAATGACCAAGAGTGAGACGATTAGCCATACCAAGTGTTGGCGAGGACATGGAGGAACTGGGACTCTCACCCACAACTGGCGAAAATGTCAAGTGGCACAACCACTGCACACCTATTAGAATGGCTAGAATAAAAAAGAGTGACAACAGCAAATGCCAGGAGGATACAGAAAAACTGCCCATCCATGGCTGATGGGAATGGGAAATGGTGCAGTCATGCTGGAAAATAGCTTGGCAGTCTCTTTTACAAGTAAATATGCACTTACTATAGAACCCAGAAATTGTGCTCTTGGGTATTTATCCTAGAGAAATGAAAACCATATTCATATAAAAAACGTGTACACAAACGTGCCTAGCAGCTGTGTTCATAATAACCAAAAGCTGGAAACAGCCCAAATGTCCTTCGGTGAGTGAATGATTAAACAAACTGTGGTACATTTATATTGTGCAGCAATGAAAAGGAATGCACTATTGATACCTATAATAATTTGAATGGATCTCAAGGCAATTATGCCTCTGTCTGCTGTCTTTCACCAAAGGGGGGGGCATCTATAAAGATAACATATTGTGTGGTTCCACTTATGTAACTGTTTAAAAATAGCAACATCATTGAAATGGAGAACAGATCACTGAGGGCAGGGGTGGGGCTGGAACTGGGGAGGGCTGGGTGTAGCTATGATGGGATGCAGGAGGGAGCCTTGTGGAGATGAAACAGTTCTGTGTCTTGATTGTGGAGGTGGTGACCCAAAGCTAGATATGTGATCAAATTGCATAGAACTACACACACACACACACACACACACACACACACACACACACACACACACACACATACATGAGTGCTTATGAAGCTGGGGAAATCTGAATAAACTGTGGATTGTACCAGTGTACATTTCCTGGTTTTGATATAATTATGCTACAGTTATACAAGATGTTAACATAGAGGACGGGTAGGTGAAGGTGCTCAGGACCTCCCTGTATTATATATTTTTAAACAACTTTCTGCAAATCTATAACTATTTAAAAACAAAAAGTTTTAGGCCTGGCGTGGTGGGTCATGCCTGTAATCCCAGTATTTTGGGAGGCCAAGGCAACAAGAGGATTGCCTGAGTCCAGGGGTTCAAGATTAACCTGGGCAACATAGCGAAACCTTATCTCTACAAAAAAATTTAAAAATTAGCCAGGTGTGATGGCACATGCCTGTAGCTACTAGGACGGCTGAGGTGGAAGGATCACCTGAACTCAGGAGGTTGGGGCTGTGGTGAAACATCATGGTACTACTGCATTCCAGTCTGGGTGACAGAGTCTCTGACTCAAAAAACAAAAATTATTTTTTCTGAAAAATGGTGCAAACATTTTGGGAAACAGCTTGGCTATTTCTTTAAAAATTAGTCATATACCCACCATATGACGCAGCCATCCCACTCCTGGGTGTTTACCTGAGAAGTGAAAGCAGATGTGTGTACAGAGACTTGGACATGAGCATTCATAACAGCTTTATTTGTAGTAGCTTCAAACTGGAAATAAAACAGGTCAGTGATGGGCCAGCAAACTGTAGAATATTCATACAGCGGAATATCCCAAGCAATAAAAAGGAACAAAATGTTGAGACATGAAACAACATGATGAATCTCAAATAATTATGCTGAATGAAAGAAGCCAGAGAGAAAAGAGAACATACCATGTGGTTCTGTTTATATAAAATTATAGAAAATGCAAATGAATCTTTAGTGATAGAAGTCAGATCATAATCTGTCACAGGAGTAGAGTAACAGGAAACAGGACAAAAAAGAAATTAGATCAACTAGGGGAGTGGAGGGTGGAAGGGAGGGATTACCAAGGGGCCCAAGGATATTTTTGAGAGAGATGGACAAGATATTTCCTTTGTGGTGACAGCTCCACACATGTATATGTATGTCAACACTCATTAAATGGACCAGGTGTGGAGGGTCACACCTGTAATCCCAACACTATGGGAGGCTGCAGTGGGAGGATTGCTTGAGCCCAGGAGTTCAAGACCAGCCTGGGCAACATAGCGAGACCTCGTCTCTACAAAAAATTAGCTGGGTGTGGTAGCACGCGTCAGTAGTCCCAGTTACTTGGGAGGCTGAGTTGGAAGAATTGCCTGAGCCCAGGTGGTCAAGGCTGCGGTGAGCTGTGATCATACCACTGCACTCCAGTCTGGGCAACAGAGTGAGACTCCAGCTTGGGGGAGGGGGGCGTGGAAAATAAAAGGATAATAGTTGACATACACTGTTCTGTTTTACCCTCCCAGCCACACAATGGGTGGCTCCATCCAGAGTTCCTATTTTACAAAGGAGGAGACCCGAGCCTGCAAGAGAGGAAGTAGCTCACCTAAGGCACCCAGACAGGCCATGTGTCGCTCCCCCGGCAGGCTCTCCCAGTGAAGTCTTTTTGGCCATGCATATGGGGAGGGAGTAAAACTCTCTGGGGAGACTGGAGACTCGTCATCAGGGACATATGTCCCGCCTGAGCAAATGGATGGATCGATGGTTCATTTGCTCACTTAATCCCAGCCTGAAATCGTGTTTGTTCATCTGTGTTCAATCAATTTGGTCTCTTTAGCGTTTGTGTCATGAGCTGTTGCTAAGGTCTCATGGTGGCTGAAGCTCACGTTCCCTGAGGGCGGAGGGAGGGAGGCCACTGATCAGCTGCTAGAATGGGGGGGGTGTTTGCTGCTAAAGGTGGGGCTCAGGGGACCTGTAGTCCTGCATTAGGAGAATGGATGCAAACCAAGGGATGCCCAAATCCACAGAATAAGTATGAGGTCTTCTCCACAGCATCCATTTTAATCCAAATTAATAAGTATAAACTTTATTTTAATATTAAGATAAATACAGGCTACTTTACTGCTGGGAACAAAAAATGGTGCAGCTGCTGTGGAAAACAGTTTGGAGGTCCCTCAAAAAGTTAAACATAGAATTACCATAGGATCCAGCAATTCTACTGTTAGGTCTATACCTAGGCGAATTGAAAACAAGTGTTGAAACAAATGTTCACAGCAGCGCTGTTCTCTATAACCAAAATGTGGGAACATTCCAAACACCACCCACTGGCACAGAAATAATTAAGTGCAGTTCACCCATATGATGGAATATTACCCAGCCATGAGAAAGAAAGAAGCATTGACACCCGCTACAGTGTAGATGAACATCAAAAACATCATGCCAAGACAAAGAAAACAGATGCGAAAGGTCACCTGCTGTGTGACTCGCTTTATATGTAATATCCAGAATAGGTAAACCCATAGAGACAGAATGTCACCAGATAGGTGGTTGCCAGGGAATAGGGGAGGGGAGAGGTCAGGAGCGACTGCTTAAGGAGATCGGGGTTTCCTTTAGGTGATAAAAATATTTTGAAACTAGAGATTGATGGTGGCTCTACAACATTGTGACTAAATGTCAATGAATTGTTCTCTTTATAATGGTTAATGTCATGTTATATTAATTTTATGTTATGTGAATAAAAATGGAAATAAACACAGACATGTTATAAAACAAAATGCAAGCCAGGCACGGTGGCTCACGCCTGTAATCCCAGCACTTTGGAAGCCTGAGGTGGAAGGATCACTTGAGCTCAGGAGTTCGAGACCAGCCTGGGCAACATAATGAGACTTTGTCTCTATGAAATTTTTTTTTTTAAGTTGACAAGTGTGGTGGCGTGCCCCTGTAGTCCCAGCTACTTGGGAGGCTAAAGCTGCCGATCACCTGAGCCAGGGAGGTAGAGGCTGTGGTGAGCCATAATGGTGCCACTGCCCTCCAGCCTGGGTGACAGAGGCTCTGTCTCAAAAAAATAAAATAAAATAAAATAAAATAAATAGAATGCAAACGCTTCATGAATTTTCAACAGTGGCAGACTTCAAGGCTGCTTTGTCCTCCTCTCTGCTGCTTCTTAGGGAGAATCTTCAGAAGTACTGGAACTCCTCTAAGGAATGGGGGTTCTGGTGAAGATACTTGAGGGGGAGGGAATGGAAATTTCCGTGACTGTTGAGGCCAGCCTCATGGGACCCAGAAGATGGCCTCCAGGGATCAGGATATCCAGGCCTGGTGTCCTCTCAGGATCAGTGCTCTCACTGACCCCTGCTGTGGCTTCTGTAGATCCCTGCCTGCTTTGAAGTGACTTCTGCTACCTGTTTCTCAGCTTTGGATCTCTCTAATGGATTTGCTGCTTGTCTCAGAACCCATGCCTGTCTTACTTAGTTCTGGCTGCTACGACCAAGTACCGTCGACTCGGTGGCTCATAAACAACAGAAATGTATTTCTCACAATTCTGGAGACTGGAAGTCCAAGATCAGCAGCTCTGGGAAGGACTCTCTCTGGGTTGCAGACTGCAGACTTCTCATTGCGTCCTCACATGCAGCAGGAGGGTGCGCGGGCTCTCTGAGGTCTCTTTTAGAAGGGCATTCATCTCACTCACATTGGGGTTAGGATCTCAATATATGAATTTTGGGGAGACACATTCAGTCCACAGCATTTCACCTTTAAAAACCTGTATTCTTACGTTGTGGAAAGACCTCCCTGGAGACGCTTTTAAAGGGCACCAGTCCCTTCATGAGGGATACACCCTCAGGACCCAATCACCTCTCAAAGGTCGCCCCTCCTCATCCTCTCTCACTGGGGGTTAGAATTTCAACACAAGAATTGGTGGGGTGACACATTCAGTCCGTAACCGTAGCCCTGGGGGACGTGCCTGGTCCACTGGGGCACCCCACCCACCTGCTAGCACTGTCTTCCTCGCAGCTGTTGGGTACCATTCTCATTTGAATCAGCCCTGTTCTGGTAAATCTCTTCTTTCAGTAATGGGAAGTGGGACTGGGATTTTGTCTTACACATCCCAAAAGGGGAAATAGTCTTTCTACCTGGCTGAAAAGAGGCAGTTACATCTTTTGAACAGAGACCTTGGACTGGGACAGCCAGTCCACTCCCAGGAGGACCTGGTACCCCCTCCTGGGTATCCTGCAGCCTCACCCACCATGGTGTTTATGTCACTGTGTGTCCCATCTGATTCCTTTGGCCCTTGTCTTCCTGCTGGACTGGGACCTCACTGGAGGGCCTGGGGGGTGCTGCTCTTCCCTGGATTTCAGCTTGAGGGTCTCAGGGAAAGTTATGGAGGAACTCAGGTGTGCATGGCCTTGGAGATGAACCATTTCCACCAGCCCACTTACAGACGGGGAGACTGAGACTTGGGGGCGGGAGTGTGGGTGTTGGTCGAGCAACTCACATGTTCTGACTCAGCCCTCACCACCATAGCCTTGACTGGAAATTAGTTTCCTTCCCTCACCCTCCAGAGAGACAATCCAAGGCCTCAACACGACATCGGCTCATTCATTCATTCACCTCACTCATTCATTCTGTAAATTTTTATTGAACTTGGAATCTTGGGAAGATTTTATTAAGAGTTTCCTGCAATTGGAGCGATACACCCTGTTTCACCATCCGGTCAGGGCATGAGCACTGACTGCCACAGGCTCTGGGCAAGGCCAGCTGGGAGGATGCTGCCTCCCAGAGGTGGTGCTCAGCTCAGTCCTGAAGCTTGCTGGAATATACCTCAGCCCTGTCCAGGGGTGGTCCCCGATTCACGGACGTGTAGGAAGGTTCCGAGGTCCCCAGCGACTTGGGGACAGCCTCCTGAGTGATCTGGGAGTCATGTGTTGTTTCCCCATCAGAACTCCCCATGTCCCTGGCCAAGAGATGGAGAAAGCCAGGATTAGGGGAGCAGAGTAAACCGAAACTCTGTTAGCTAATCAAGACCTTCATACTTAGACATTGATTTCACAGACGTTACCTTAGGCATTCATTCAATACACCTACCTTTCTGGAGCGCTGATCACTATGCCAGACCCTGGGAATAAGAAAAGGGTCACCCTTTTGGAATTATACAGACTTTTTTCTTTTTTGTAGAAGGTGGTCTTGATTTGTTGTGTAGGCTGGTCTTGAACTCCTGGCCTCAAGAAGTTTTCCTGCCTTTGGCCTCCCAAAGCACTGGGATTACAGGTGCAAGCCACCACACCCGGCCCTATATGAACAATTTATAGATCTTACTGTGAACTGGACAATTTGAGGCCACTGTTCTATGTTCCCCAAAACCCAAGATTGTATAGGAAGATAGATTGCAACAGACAATGACCACACAGAGTGGACAAGTGCAGGTGGGAGCTGCAGGAAGGCTTCCTGGAGGAGGCAGCAGCTAATCTGGCCCTTAAGAAGGAGTGTTGGGGTAGAGAAAGGCATTTCTGGTGAGAGATGAGCACGTGGCAGGTGTAAGATGGCAAGGGCAGAGAAGCATCTAGGGCAACAGTGGACTGACCATTCGGTGTGGCTGGGGCCAAAACAGGTGGGGATGGCAGGAAGGACCAGTCAAAGAGCTAGGCTAAATTCAGACAATGAGGCCTTCTGTGCCAGATTAGGGCACACCCCAAAGGGAGGGGGGACATAACTGTTCTGACTGATCCCGGGTCTAGTCAAGCAGAGTCTCTCGGTGGCTGACATCATCTGTTATTTGTGTTTTTACTAATGTAAATGTCAGCAGTCAATCTGATTTCCAAGTTCACGGTCCCCTCCCCTGCTCCATTCCCTACTCACCCACCTATCATTTTCCGTATATTCACTTAATTATACCTACTTGAAGAAATTTTTCTATCTGCTCCCCCAAGTCACCTCCACGGGGACATTCCCACCAGATCTGCAAAGCCCCCTGGGACATTCCTTTCCTAGTGAGAAGCACACTGCATGACTTTAGTTCATCCCTGTCCTGATGAGAGTTTGCTCATGCTGATTCTTCCTCCTCCCTAGGCAGGATCTGCCCTGCCCTCCTCTGGATTTTCACAGCTCCTGTGGTGGCCTGTTCATTCCCTGCTGGGTCCTCCCAGGTATTAGTAGATTATGAGCACACCTGTTTCCCTGCCAGACAGCCCTACTAGCCCTGTTACACCCCAGGGAAGACCTCAAGTCCTAATTCAAAGCAGATGCAAATCTGAGGTGTTACTGGTGCCAGTCCCTGCTCTGGGTTCTGGTCCTAGGCTGTGTGACCTTGAGCTACCCTTCTCCTCTCTAAGCCTCAGTTTCCCTACCTGTACTGCAAGTGGGTGAATTATAATGATAACTTAAAAGCAAATATTTGTTGAGTTCCTGGGCACTGCCCTGAGGATTTCTTTTACTCAGGCTGCAATGCAGTGGTACAATCATGGCTTACTGCAGACTCGACCTCCCGTGCTCAGCGATCCTCCCACCTCAGCCTCCCAAGTAGCTGGGACTACGAGAATATGCCAATTTTGTTGTTGTTGTAGAAATGGGATCTCACTGTGTTGCCCAGGCTAGTGTGGAACTCCTCAAGCAATCTTCCTGCCTCTGCCTCCCAAAAGTGTTGGGATTACAGGCATGAGCCACCATGCCTAGCCATCCTGAGGACTTTATAGAGGTCATTCCACTTAACTTTCACAGCTCCATGGGGTGAATAATATTTATCATCTTCATTTTCCAGATGAGGAAACTGAGTAATAGAAGGATAATATGTCTTGTCCAAGGTTGTACAACTCTAAATGCCAGAACTACAAGAGGGACCCCCCCCCCAAAAAACCAGAAGGTTTTAGAGGGCGGGCCCCTTGTAATACAGGCATTCCCCACTAGGTAAGAATTACGGGAGCCCTGCGGCATGAGTATACCAGCTAGCATTGTTGTGACAGGCTGTGTTTGGCTTCGGTGATTTTTTTTTTGAGATTCCTTCAGTGCATTTGCCTACTTCATGATGGGTGATTTATGAGTGCACCCACCTACACTATGCTGAGTGTTCAGCAGTTTTTGACCAAAAATGTCATTACCTCTGTTTGGGCCCTGTCCTTCCTATTCACCCAGTCTTGCCCTAGCAACTTTCCCCCCCCCCAGATGAAAAAAGTCCTCAAAGGGGAACATTTTCTAATGTAAAGGAGGTGAAACAAAAACAGCAGAAGCACTAAAAGGCATCAAAATTGATGAGTTCAAAACTGTTTTGAGCAGTGGGAAAAGCATCTTGATAGGTGTATTGCATCAAACAAAGAGTACTTTGAAGGTAACTGAAGTGTAAACATATAAGAATAAATACACAATTTTGTATAAATAAATTCTGGTTTTCTGGGGTCCCCCCGGTAAGATTCAATTGGCCATCTGCCCACATAGCTCAGGATCTGAGCCCTTCCCTCCCCAGCTGAGCAACTTGACCTAGAAGGTCCTCCTAGCTTGAAACTCCAGGGCTCTTCTTCCTTTTCACCAGACCCCACCCCACAGGATGGAAGGAAGCTCCCTGGCCTCTGAGGCTCTCCCCTGCTTTGGAGGACCCAGTTGCTGAATCCTGCCTTACAGATTGTAAGGTCCAGGGTCCAGCCTTCCCAGCGGGTGGGTACTCACACGAGGCTGAGGACAATGGCGCCAGCAAAACCCACGAGCAGGAAGAAGGGCAGGGAGCCCAGAATGGAGGTGATGACAATCATGCCTCCGCTCCGCCGGCCTGGCCACGTGTCGATCGCGGAGTATGGAGTGGCTACAGAGGGACGCAGAGCAGTTACTCTCCATACACTGCGCCCCTCAGTCTTCTTCCAGGGAGGCAGCAGGTGTCCCCCCTGCACTGGCTGCTGAGAGTCCAGGGACGAACCTGGGACCCAGTTCAGAACTCTCTCCTCCCAGGTTTTAGGCACAGTTACCTTGTTTGCCCCACATCCCACTTCCCAACTTTCTGGTGTGAGTTTCTGGCCTCTTCCTCTTCACTGTCTCTCTGCACAATTTTAAATTATAAACAGACTCAAGTCTTCTAATGAGACGCTGAGATGGAGATTAGAAACAGTTAAGATAAAGACAAGACAAAGGGCCCTGGTCTGACAGGCAGGGTGGGCTGTGGTTGTCACTCTTCTGGGCTGGTCTTACCCTTTGGAAACTACGTGAACAAAAGACTTACAGGTCCTACGATAGCTGACCACTTGTGGCAACTGTTCCACGTGAGTTCCCTGGAAACCCCCATTCGGCAGATCACTCATTGCCCTCAGGGAGACTGAGTCCTTGCCCAAGGACCTGCAGAATCCAGACTCAAGCCCCATGTGTCTGGTTCCAAGGTGCTTGCCGTCCCCACAGATGGCCCCTAGGACCTCCCCCAAGATAACTGGGGCTACTGCTTCTGTCTGGATTCCTCAAAAGAAACAGGGAGGTCCAGCAAGAATTCTTCTGCCCCCTTCTCAGGTGAAGAAACTGGGGTACCGAAGGGCTCACATTGCAGTGAGGGGCAGAGGCTGGGCTGGGAGTCAGGATCCTCAGTTCCAAGGGTCCCAAGGCTGTTTCAGTGGGACCACGCTGCATGAGAATGTCACGGGTGTGGGCGGGCAAGGCATGCAGATGAGAGACGTCACCCCAGCCACACACACATATTCTCACACACCCACATCCCATACACCACACACTCACACATACAGGACACTACAAATTACATACACATCACACACCACACATATGTCACACATCCCCCACGAACTGCATACGCACATACCACAAACCCATTCCCACACTCATGCACTCACACACCACCCGCTGGTGTGTGACCTCAGGCAACATTCTGGGGCCGCTACATGCCCCTTGGGGGTAAACAAGAGGTGGTAGGAAGCTCTGCAGGTAAAACACTCAGCTCTGTGCTATCCTAGGCCACTAGGCAGTCTCATCTTGGGACCAGGAGTTGTGTGTGCGGGGTCCTCAGACACTTAGAATTACCTTCCAGGTCCCTTATGTGGCCCTGATATGCAGCAGCCAAGATTCTGTGTGTGTAAACCTCTGGTCTCTGCTAGGAACCCCAGGTGGAGACCTGAGGAAGGAGCAGGGCAGGGCCCCAGGCAGGTATGAGGTCCTTCCAGCCCTCCCATCCTTAGGAGAGCCATCCAGGTGCTAAGAAGGAGGGCAGGGGAGGGTGTGTGGTGCCCTTGCTGTCTCCTCAGCCTCAGACCTCTGGAATCATCTTGCCTGGTCTTGGATGTTTGTTGTAAGGATTCAAGAAAGGGGCTTGGTAGGACCTAAATGTAGAATGAGCTATAGGCCCCTGAAGGCCACACACTGCAAGGGTTGGAAGGAAGGGCTGGCCTTGACTCTGATTACACCCACCCCCCACACCCCATCCAAACACTTCCAAGTTCTCCACCTTGATCTGTTTCAACATCCAGCCCTCAGTGACAGAAGGGAGGGAGAAGTTCAGGTTACATTACTTTATGGTGCGTTTTACTCATCATCACCCTGATGGTCATCTGTGTCTGGGGAGGCTTTCACAGTGACTGTGTGAGTCTGCCTTCTCATGGCCCAAGCCTGGCCCAGCCTTGCTGGGTCCCCTTGAAGATCATCCCTGGCCCAACCCTGCAACTTACGTCGTTTGGTGCAGATGGGGTCTGACCACAGGGTCTGGTCCTGTACCAAGCCCGTGGACATGTTGACAAGGACATACTTGAACCTGAAAGGAGTTAGAATGAAGGTGACTTCCATCCTTCCTGAGAGCCCAGCCCCAGCTACAAGGAGGTAAGAGGGCGTAAGATGGCCTGATGCAGGAGGAAGAGGGAGAAGTGATAGAGGAAGGAATGGGGGGGGGGAGGTTCCAGGAGATAGAAATGTGGACAGTGTAGACAGCCACTCTGGGCAATTGGATGATGCTAGACTTGGGTTTGGTGCCTTGGCCACCTATGACCCTCTGGACCCTTCCCCAGATTCGATGCCACCTCCTCCATGAAGCCTTCAGAGTCAGAAGACCTTTCTCTAGGCGGTCCCTCTTGGAGCCCCCTTCTGTTTCTCTACCTCATGTAATATATGTGGCATATTTGCTGAGTACTAACACACCTGTCCTCTTTGCATTTCTGTCTTCCACTACTCCAAGCCTGATCCTTGGAGTATCACAAAGGTAACTAAAAAAACAAAAACCCAAACTGGAATAATATCCATTACCAGTCCTGCTGTTCTCGGGGAAGGGCTACATGAAAAGTGCAGAAATCCCCAAAGTAAAATGATTTACTTATAATAAAAGACGATCGGCCAACCCAGTACAAAATATCCATAGTCTCCTTAGGGTCTCATACACATTTAAAATGAGGGATGAGCTGGACTCGGTGGCTCAGCCTGTAATCCTGCGTCTTTGGGAAGCTGAGGTGAGTGGATTGCCTGAGCCCGCGGGTTCGAGACCCGCCTGGGCAGCGAGACCTCATCTCAACAATAAATCAAAAAATCACCCGGGCGTGGTAGCACATGCCTGTAATTCCGGCTACTCGGAAGGCTGAGGCAGAAGGATCACCGGAGCCCAGCAGGTTGAGGCTGCGGTGGCCGGGAACAGCCACTGCACTCCAGTCTGGGCAGCAGAGTGAGACTTCAACTCAAAAAAATAAAAAATAAAATAAATAAATAAATAAAATGAGGGATGTTCTGAGGACTCAATTCTGTTACAGCCTGTAGTTTAACACTTAAATATCAAGACCCTTAAAATCTCTGTAGCAGTGGTCCTTGAACAACTACCATATTACTAAAAGAAAAGGATTGAAAGTAGCAGGAAGCCGGGCTCGGTGGCTCAGCCTGTAATCCCGAGTCTTTGGGGGGCTGAGGTGAGTGAATTGCCTGAGCCCGTGGGTTCGACACCCACCTGGGCAACTTGGTGAAACCTCATCTCCACAATAAGTCAAAAATTAGCCGGGCGTGGTAGCGTGCGCCTATAGTTCCAGCTACTTGGAAGGCTAAGGCGGAAGGATCGCTGGATTCCAGCAGGTCGAGGCTGCGGTAGCCGGGAGTGGCCACTGCACTCCAGTCTGGGCGACAGAGTGAGACTCCATCTCAAAAAAAAAAAAAAAAAAGAAAGTAGCAGGAAGCTGCAGGGGACGGGGGAGGTGGGATTGACAGTAGTGGATATCTGCCTGGGGAAAGGGGGGCACACCTCATCAATAAGGGTACCTGCACAATGAATATTTATATACCTAACCTTGAATTGTACTCCACAATTTAAAAATAAAAATTAAAGGAGGAAATAAATAATCTCTGTAGCTTCCAGTGTTTTGCTTAGTTCTCTGCTGCCTTGTTTCAAGATGAGAATTCCAGAAGCAAGGCTGTTCCAAAGGTAGGGTGGGCTTGTAAATGAAGTCAGAGAAGGCTGCCTTTGCCATCGAGGAGGAAGATGTTTTCCCATGTTAAAAATAAGGTCAGAGGGCAATCCCTTCGGGTCCCCACCCACTGTGGGAGCTTTTCTGTCCTCTCGATAAATCCCGCTTTCTAAAAATAATAATAATAATGTCAGAGGTAAAGGGTCAGGGGTGGGAAGAGAGCCGGAAGCCCTGTCCTGCTCAGGGACTAAGGCCAAGGGAGGAGGGAAGCCCTTTGAGAAGATGGCAGGTGGATGACGGTCTGGGGCCTCCACCCTAGGCATCTCCATGGAAGCCAGAGTGGGTGTCACTGAAGGCTTAGGCACCAGGTAAGATCCTCCGGCCGGCCACAAGTCAGGACTGAACCTTGAGTTTTATACAGAGAAGATGCTCAGAAAAATGTGTGGAAATGAATTGAGGACCCACTGGTGTGGGGGTGGGTAGCAGAAGGGCTAGAAGGATGAGGAAAAAAGGCAGAAGGTAAGATAGTGGGTGGAGAGGCCTTCAGTGGGGCTCAGATCATGCTGGGCTGTAGCTTTTCACTAGGCAAGCTTCCCTTTCTGGCCAGTTTCCGTTCTGTAAAACAAAGGGGCTTGGGTGGGCGGCTCCCACACACGTGATAGGCCAAGACCAGCTGCACAATTTGTGAAGCTCAGTGCAAAATGAAAATGTGACCCCCTTGTTCAAAAATTAAGAATTTCAGGGTGGTGACTGCAGCCAAGAGGGAATCCTTCTGAGCTTGGGGCTCTCAGGGTCACACGCCCAGAGAGCCAGCCCTGCTTGGGACTTAGAACGTCAGGTCTCAGAATGTGGCTGCTCCCGGTTTCACCCCCGCTGTGTCTTCCCATGTTGGGGCTCGGCTGTAGCTCTATCCAGGCTGTTCACACCCACCTGTACTCCGTGGCTGCTGACAGGGGTGGGTTGCAGAGGCCCTGGAAGTTGGGGTCCCATAGGCAGGTCCCATTGGCGCCCACCCTGATCAGGTATGCGTTTAGGATCTGCGAGGCCTGGGACACATCCCCAACAGCATCCAGACTGGGCAGGTCACCGCAGGGGGTCAGGTCAAAGGCCGCAGCTTTGTAAGGGCCTGTCCTCCCGCCTTCTGTTTCCTGGAACATCGAGTTCAGTGGGGTCTTGGTGCTGTCCTGCACTGAGGCATTCCTGAAGCCGGCTGCAGAGGCAGTGCTGGGAGTGAGGTTCCTGGCCACTCCAGCCCTGCACACTCAGTCATTTATCAAACACCCCCTGAGCATCCCCTCTGCCCCAGCTGGGCACTGCTGAGCACTGAGGTCACAGGCCCAAGTGAAGCTCAATCTCTGCCCTCCCAGTGCAATTAAGGAGATGATTACTTCCCCTGATTCTGGCACTGAATCTGGCTCTCACTCATCCTATCTTGTTATATTTCTGTAATCCCCCACCCCAACAGACCTTTGCCACTAGGTTGCTGAAACCCCTGGAGACTCTCTTCTGTAAAATGGGACAGGAAAGTCATACAGTACAGGGGAAATATGTGGTGGAAGCAGGTAGACCTCTATTAGGTCCCAGATCTCCTCATTAGACAGGTGCTCCTGGACAGCTCACTCTACCTTTCTGGACACCGGTCTTCACTTCTGTGAAATGGGAGAGAAATATCCTGCAGTGCTCACAGATTGGGCACAGGCAGGTGGTCAATAAACGTTTGCTGAAAGAATAAACAGGCCAGACATGGTGGCTTATGCCTGTTATCCCAAAGTCTTGGGAAGCTGAGGCAAGAGGATTGCCTGAGCCCAGAAGTTCGAGACCAGCCTGGGCAACATGACAAGACCTCATCTCCATAATTAAAAAAAAAAAATTAGCCAGGCTTGGTGGTGAATGCCTGTAGTTCTAGCTGAGGGACTGGAAGGCTGAGGTGAAAGGATCACCTGAGCCCATCAGGTCAAGGCTGCGGTGGCCGTGAGTGTGCCACTGCACTCTAGTCTGGGTGACAGAGTGAGATTCTGACAACAAATACATAAATAAAATAAAATAATGACCCTGAGCAAGCCGTTGTAAATGACTGACTGCTAGAGATGCAAGGGTTATTATTGGGCTCTTCTCGGAAACACAGAATTCCCATTAGTGAAGGGGTCAGGGCTGGGCCAGAGTGGCAGGTCTGAGCAGATCAATTGTTTGGCTTTGTCTCGAAAACACTGATCTTGAACCGTCTTGGAAGTACTTGGGCCTGAAGACCACAGAGTTCAGAATTCACCCTCCAGCTCCGGGAGCTTAGTGAGTAATTAGTAATAGTTACCCTGCAAGCTAGTTGTAGATATTAGCTCCAAAGCACCTGGTATAATGTGGGTGCCGAGTGATGGGTGCTGTTATTAATTCCCCCACTAGATTGGATGCCTCTCCAGGGCAAGGACAGGTCTGTGACCAAAGCGCCCAGTCCAGGGCTGGCCCAGAGTGGATGCCAGGGCAGGTTGAGAAAGAGCATGGGGTAGTTTAATTAAACCACTACAGGGATGAATGTCTCTCCACCTGGCTCCTTCCCTCCTCTCTATGACAAGTCAAAGCCCCTTTTAGGACCCTTACCTGAGTCAACCAGGACGTAGAGGTAGACCTCATAGGGGCCACTGAGGTCCTCTGAGCTGTCAAACATGCAGAGAGGTTTTTCCAAGGCCACGGTGGTGAGTGTGGGATTGTTGGTGGCAAAGGTCACGCTTGCCAGTTGGGGCTGGAGGTTCACAGCTGGAGGCAGTGAGGATGGGAGCTGACATCCAGCAAACCGTCCACACTCATGGGCACTCTCTGCTCTCTCACATGTCCGCCTGCCGTCACCAAGCACCCAATGGACTTCACCCTCTCTAGGGGCCACCTCATAATTTGTCCTAGCAATGGGCAGTTCCCCTGCCCCTACCCAGTCCTCCTGGCCAGAAGCCAGGCAGTCCAGTCAAACTGTTGCTCTTTCTCTCCCCCTGCAGCCATTCAGTCACCAAGAACTCCACTGCCTCTCCTAGGCATCTCCCCACCCCATTGGCCCAGCCCCCCTCCACTCTATCCTCTTCACCTGGACCCTAGTAGCAACAGCCCCTGCCTCTCTAACATGTGGATGGGACCGTGTCACTCCTGTGAGGGCCCTTCCATGGCCCCCATGGTCTTCGGTGGCAGTCCAGCCTCTTCTGGAAGGTAGCGAGGTCCTGAAGCTCTGGGCTTTGATTCCTTGGGTGTCCAGCATCAGTCCCCCCTCCCCAGGGTCTCCTCACCCCATAGTCCAGTCACACTGATCGATGGGTAGTTCCCAGGATAGGCCATGCTGCCTCCCATCTCTGTGAACTTGCCCATGCCACTTCCTCCACAAGATATCCCTCCATCTCCCCTTATCCAGACGTCACCAGAGTTCTGGGTCTAGCCCCTTCTCTGCTTTTCTGCAGCCCCCTGTGTGTTGGTCTCTTGCAACACGCATCGCAGGGCTGTCGCCATCCATGAGCCCTCAGATTCCCAAGAGGACGGGCATAAACCTAATAACAGCTGGGTCCCCAGCGCCAGGAACCAGGGGGTTCTGGCGGCGCACGCCCTGGGACACAGCTACCCGCCCTCCCCGGGCACAGCCCTCTCCTGTCCTCCCCCGCCTACCCGAACCGAACCGCAGGCAGCCGAGGGCCAGCAGAGCCCAGAGCGGAGGCATCGCCCGGGACAAGCGGCAGGAGCGCGGGCCGGGCGATCCAGCGGGCGAGCGCGGGCACCTGGCTCTCCCGCCCGCTCACCTGCCCGCCCGGGGCCCTCGGCACCCTTCGGCACGCCCCGCCTCCGCCCCTGCCCCCGCCGGCCAATCCGCGCCTTCTCGCGGGCTATTTGCATACGACCCCGCCCCGAGCTCCCCTGGACCGCGCGGTGCCCCAGAACTCAAATCCAACAGGGATTGGGGGGGGGGAACCTTCCCGATCCCTTACCAAAGCGCCCTAAGGCCAGGGCGATGCTTTCATGGCGTCTTTCACCTAATGACACCTTGGGGGCAACCCACTCCTTCTTGGAGCCTCCGTTTCCAATGGAGATACTAATTCTTACAACTATTTAGGAAGCCCCTACTAGATGCCAGACACTCACTGGCCTCTTGTGACCCTTTCTGCTCACAGGTACAAGGTCAAGACCCATGGAGGCTGGGGAGGGTAGGGACTCCCCAGGCCACACATGGACTCCATGGAAACGTGGAGGCTGGAGGGACCCGGGAGTCCTGTCACCCAGTCCAGGACTGTTTCAAAAGGGTTTTTTTGTTTTTGTTTTTTTGAGTTGGAGTCTCACTCTGTCGCCCAGACTGCAGTGGCCACCACATCCTCGACCTGCTGGGCGCCGGCGATCCTTCTGCCTCGGCCTTCCGAGTAGCCGGAATTCCAGGCACGCGCTACCACGCCCGGCTGATTTTTTGATTTATTGTAGAGATGAGGTCTCACTGCCCAGGCGGGTCTCGAACCCGCGGGCTCAGGCAGTCCACTCACCTCAGCCTCCCAAAGGGGAGAGATTACAGGCTGAGCCACCGAGCCCGGCTGGAACAGGGTTTTAATGCCTGCTCCTGAGAGGGTGTTTGAATACAGTGATGGGCCTCCTCTACCAGATTAGAAGTTATCTTGCAGAGTCAGGAATGCATGCACACCTCCGAGTGCACCTTAAATCAATTTTACATTTAAGAAATAAAAGTGCCAGGTGTAGTGGCTCATGCCTGTAATCCTAGCACTTTGGGAGACTGAGGCAAGAGGATTGCCTGAGCCCAGG